CACAACCATCGCATTTCCCACCCTCCTGGATGCCGCATAATTTATAGCTGCCTGAATTGATCGAAAATGACCCGATCCATCCATTGCAACAACCGCATTCGCTGTCCTGGACAAGGTTACCGACGACTGTAACAGCTTTCTTTCACCAGCGGTGACCCAACTCGGAAATCCATCTTTGTAATCTTGATGCTCCATCAACACCCCGTTCACAGCTAAACAATTGCTAATCAAATGCGACATGTTACTGGTAAGAATAGGGGAAATGAGTTCCGTGACATTCAAATCGAGGGACCCTGATCGACAGATTTCCAAGTTGGTGAGGGCCGTGCTGAGCCAAGTTTGTGCATCAACATCAGAAGTCTGGTTGGCCAAGAAGCCCTCGATGGTGCGGTTCAATTGGAGAACTGTATTGGAAAGAAGTTTGTTACAATCCCTCCAAACGGCCTTCTTTCTTTTGCTGCGGCACTCTCTCCGAAGATTCTTTGCATGTTTTCTTGCACTATGGACTTGCTCCAAGGCTACTCGCACCGTCATCGTTCTGAATTGGTCTCTGCCTATGGGTTTGATGTCTGAATAGGGAGGACGGCACATGAAGTACTTGCAAGTCTCAGGATGAGGAGTGCTGCTGCACCACCAATCGATATCACCATTACTTTCTTCTTGGCCACTTGGTTGTGAATTACAGAAGAAGGGACCCAAAGACAAGCAGCATAAGAGGAATATAACAAACTTAGTCGTCATCACTGCTACATAGGTCGTCTTCAGTTACGGTTGGGTTTTTAGCGTTTGATTTGAGATGGGCTTTGAGGTTTTTACGGTTATTAAATGTCGAGGTTTAGCCGGGGTTTTCTTCCCCCCTTTTTTCTTAATACTACAAGGGAGAAAGAGGAGGTTTGGGATGATAATGGGGATGAAAGATGTGATGGAGGAGTTTAACTTAATTAGAAGATGTAAATGAAAAGTGTCAAGAGTTGATATTGAACCGCCTTCTTGACATTTGTTTAAAATGGTCAGATCCTTGTTTTATGGATCGCTGCAAACACACACAAACGTGGAGAGAGAAACAGAGAGACGACTCCTTAATTAGTCCTTTCCTGTTTTATGCTGTAATTTACATATGAAACAACCTCGGTGTTCACTGAAAATGAATAATCATTTGTGCAATACTAAGCCTCGCATGAAAAAGCTATTCAAATGGTATCTGCGGCTGGAGATTGTGTGAACTGAGACGCAGATATCTAAACATATCTGCTAATTAACCTGTTCCTTGGCGGAATAACATGAAGCATTGCTGGCGGCTGTGACATGCATCCTCATTGCCTTCATCAAGCTACCTTGGGAAGGAAGAAATTAAGCAATTTGTGGAGTGTTTTCTGATCGTCTTGATGACTTTAGTTGGCCCGTTTGCATTTTCTAGTGTACCTTGAGGCTCAAGTAGCTAGCGCATTGCATGGAATAATGTAAGAATCAAGCAAAACATATTCCGTCTTTCGTGATACCAGATGTCCAAATAGCCATCTGTTAGGGGATACCGCCATGTGCTTATCTATTACTTTATGTGCAAAAGTTCTCCTAAGCCGCGCGCATTTAAATGGTTCTACAGTCCGGTTTATCCTCTAATCTACCGCGAAAAATCTTCCTTAAGTGCAATTTACACTTACTGATATGATATATTTGCCAGTAATTCATTTTTAAGGCTTAGGCATATCATTCTAACAATTATGTGCAGGGAGGACCATTAAAATTATTTGTAAGTTGTGGCGCGTATATCCTCCGAATTTGCTACGTAAAATACTTCACTGTTTCTAGCTTTTTTCTATATTCTACAGGGATCCCCCCGGGGATTGGGGATTGTGAGTGAAAGCTCTAGTTCAGGTCCATTGGGATGATAGATATGGGCGTTAAAATTTAATTCCTCGGCCCAAACCACATGACCCATTTGAGCAGCCCAATTCAATTCTGCAGGGAAACGCACCCCAAAAAAATTGGTACGAATCCGAATTTTTTGGAGTCCAAGATTGATGGATTGTAAATTCCAGATTGTCAATTCGATTGGGACCGATCTTTTGTTTCTCTTTTGAAACTTTGATGACGAAATCGAGTGCCTTTACGTACGCTCATCTGCTGACAAAATTGAGCTGGTATTGGGGTGTTCAATAATGTCTCCAATGTAGTTGTTACTTGTTTCCATGACCCATACTAATGATTGACATATCTTTTTCATTATTACTTGTGTATTTTGTAAATTTTTTTTTTTTTTGTCTACTCAGAGGGTATCCGGGCTTCGGGTATGCCGAACCCGACTAATCCCCATGAGGCTTGAGAGGAGAGGCTCCATCCTCTCGAACCGGTAACCACTGGGATTCGATCCCTGGTAGGGGAGAATGGACAACGGGTCCTGAGAAGGTTCCGTGACCAATCGACCTATTCAGTGATGGCGTGTATTTTGTATTTGAAATTTAGTTTTTATTCTTTTACTGTGCTTGTCAAAGTGCATCTTTATTTCTTCAATTGACTCCAATAGCTGCAGCACTAAGGAGGCTACCTAATATGCCGTTCAAGCATATATATATATATATGGGCATGGATCCTAGGATCATCTTCTGCTCGCTTCAATATACGGTCAAGAAACTTTTAAAGGAGTATTAATACTACACTCGGTACTTCTTTTTGTAACTCAAAGAATGATTGGTTTATTTTCTTTAGAGTCTCCTCCATTTTTTTCAAATCTATGTTTGGAAAAATAATGTAGCTGAGCTCGTAGCTGGAAGAACTCATGGCATGCATGCTACAATAGATATGATTTTATAGTTGTCTTCTTTGTGCTGTTAAATTGCTTGATGAAATTTGTGGAAAACATTAATTGGACATTGCAATGTCCCTGAAACTTCATCTAGATTGAAAGCATAGTAGCCTGTAGTTTCTCTCCTTTGTGTTAAGACATCAGTGCGTGTCAAAGGTCGTTTGTTGCTGAAGATATCATAGCAGTTATCCTTTTGGAGTGGGGAGATTGAGGCGTAACTTCAGCTCTGGTTACTATTTTGCAACACTCCATGTGAGTAAAGTGCATATATTTCTTTCTGGGTTCATTTTCATTGCTCGTGACATTGGGGGACCTTGCTTTAAAGACACAGACTTAGATATTTTGGCACAGTTATCATTTGTTGAAAGTGTCTTTACTCAGTCCGTGTCTGTTGGTTATCCCTCTCCGAAACCAAAAAAAAAAAACAAATTTTTTTGACAAACTTATTATGCATCTTCACAGTTTCTGGAAAGTGTCCCAACTTAGCTTTATTTACCCTTCGACCTCCGCTTCCAGTTCTGGAAAATTAGACGGCTGGGCTCATCCCTCTTCTTCGTCAGCTTTTCTATTTGTATTCCTTGTAATTGAGAAGAAAATTTATTGGGATTGAATCGGCTTTGAGACCAAAATTTGGTTTAAATCAACGAGAAAAGAAGAGAAAGGAGTAAACCAAGCATACCGGGATCCCAAGACTGAGGACAAATACTTCACGGAGAATTGCTCTAGTGTCACTCTTTTTAGATGGTCAACGCTGTTGGAACCTCCAAGAAATCCATAGGCAAGGGCAGAGCTGACTTTCTTGGTATATATCCCACAGAGAAATTAATGGATTACTTTTTAAATTTCTCAGAATCATGCAATTTTGTAATTTATGTCCACAGCACACGCTTCTTTGTTATGTGTTTATATTTTTTTTTTTTAAAAAAAAACTATTTCCTTCCGTCCTTTATGAAAAATTGGGACTTTGTATGCATTTTTTTTGAAGATTACAGACTTTTATGAATCATGGAATCAGACCAAACGATGGGTCTTATTCAATGTTCGAGAGAAATGAAGATAATTTATGTTGCATTTGCCTTTGTTAAGGAATCTGGCTCAAATCTAAGACTAAAGTCTCACGTGAGAAAAAACCACAATATGTGGTAGAAATTTGTTAACGAGGCTCCATAGGAATCTGGCTCAAATCTAAAACTAAATCACAACATGTGGTAGAAATTTGTCAAATCTAAAACTAAATCACAACATGTGCTAGAAATTTGTTAATGAGGCTCCATAGGGGGTTGGGGAATGGGGCTAACGATTTCAACCGCTATGGAAGGGCCTTTCCAACCTTGCATAAGATGGTGGTGGAAGAGGAAAGACGGTGACCACTCAATGGACAAGGGGCCGAACGATTATGACAAAAATCGTTCGGGAAGGTTTTGTGCAAGATTCGCACGACATAACTCTGATTGCACACGGCTTAACTTTCTTTCAACAATGTGTAACTATAGAATAAAATTTTATGAACCCTACACATAATGTTAAAAACGAAATATAAGATGAAATTTGGGTCTTATAATTTTTTTTTTTTTTTGCCAAAGCTTGGCTATGACCAGCCAGGAACAGTTACTTTCTACAATCGTTCCTGCCCCTCTTCCCCAATGATAAAACGAAATCCATTGTCAGGAAACCAAAGAGAGAGACAGAGAATAACATTAATGAATATAATGTACACTAATTGGTTTACCCAAAAGGGAAATATTGAACTTGCTGGTGATGTTGAAAACAACTTCACATAAATTTTTACAAAGAGAAACCATATGCAACTTTGGTCTTAAAAAAAAAAAAAGAAGAAAGAAAAAAAACAATATTAATCTTGCAACCCTCATAGCGAGCTAAAGCCATATTAACATGCTACACAACGACTTAAGAAGCAATGCTTAATTTTGGCAGGTAAGTATAGCCTCAGTGAATTCTCGTAGGAGCGCTTAAGAACCCATGGTACTTCGCTAATTAACATAATCAACGACACTTGGGAGAGACCGAAAATTGAGATCCACTAGCAATCCAGTTATGGATTCTCTAAAATATTGTCAAAAATATATATAGTCCTGTCTTCTTTGTTAATATACTTATTTTTGTTTTCATTTTCACTGTTCCTTTTGGAGGGAACTTTTCTTTTTTTAAATCCTTATAAAGATGTCAAAAAGGCAAGTCTAAAAACATCCTTTGTCTCTTTCTCTATGTAATTGACAACCATCAAATTAAGTGTGAACAAAAGGATCATCTGAACTTAATAGGCGTTTACAATGTTCGCAATACTATCCATATAGATGTTGATCATACATACACAATTTACCAAATCACAAACTAAACGACCGTGATTTTGAAGTCCTGAATCCAGGCATCATATTCATATTCTTACCTATCCTGCTTATTGCTACCAATTAATTAGTGCTAATTAAAAAGTAGCAACAGCCAACATTGTACACTTCGTTACGTGCTGATTGCCGATTGCCGGCCATGCCTGATCATCATCTAGCTACCTGTGGAGGGCAGCATAGCTATTTATCAGAGCCAAGGCGTTACTAGTCACGTGTGCAACATTCACTATTTGATCCCTCACAGCGATTTTGTTGTTGCCATTCATGGCTTTTCCGGCAAAACCCTCCATGCACGTATCGTCATCTGTCAAAGCAGCGCTAACCCACGTTTGTATATCATTCATGGTGAGGGCAAAGTTTGAGCCCCTGAGCTGTGGCATCTCATCCAATGAGTTTTTCAGCTCATCCACCGACTCACGTAATTCCTCCACACAGTCACGCATTGCCCCGCCTTGTCGGGGTGTCATGCCATGACTTTGGGACAGCTTTGCCATCATGGAAGAGGTTGATTTGGCGGAGTCAAGGCTCGCGGAGAGAGCCGCGTGAGCTAGAAGTTTAGGGTCGGATCGAATGATAGTTGCGTGATTTGAGAGAGTGGCGTAACAGAGTTTAGGGTAGGTAGTTGTGCTGCAAGATGTTCTGATGAATTCGGTGTTAGTGGCTCCAGATAAAGCTCTGGCTGCTGTGGCGGTGGTAGAGAAGTGAGTCAGGCTGAGGCAAATGAGAAGAATTGTGGCCAAATGAGTAGAAGAAGAGCCTTCCATCTCTCTGTTTGTTCTTTTATCTGTAAATACGTATTTGAGCTTTCGTGCTTTTTTCTTACTATGGAGAAGCTTGCTTGGTGGTGAAACAAGAAACTCATGGCCATCAATTTATAGAAAAACCATCAAGGACTAGAGGAGAACGAGCAATTATTGCCATGTTGTCTGAAAAGGACAGGAATTCTTAGGGCTGGATTCAATTGACATCACGGGTCCTAAACGTGTTCGTCTCCAAGTGGAGCGGTGGACATATGTACTAGTAGCTGGTAACAGTACTACCCTCCTTTTTAAAGTATCTCTTTCAACATCAAAAGGAAACTACTGTCTTGCCGTATAAAGTATCAAGTTTATTAAAAAAGAAAAAAATAGAGAAGTGTTTATTTTTCCCTCCTCTCTGAAGGGGTTATCTTCTTCCCCTTCCCCTCCCTTTTTTTTTTTTTTTTTTCAGTTTCAAGACCGTAATAAATTGATAACCAGAGAAAACTCTTACGTCAGGTTGGTATGCACAAACACAGCCGGCTGGAATTCTTCTTCCTTTTTTCCCTTCTTTCACAAATCGCTGATATATAGCTTGTTCTGCCTAAGCCCTCTTCAGTCATTCGTCAATCTTCTCTTCTTTTTTTTTTTGTAATCAGTTTGGAGTTCAGTTTATTCTCTCTTGTTTTTTCACTTCTTTGTTCTTTATTTTTGGTGGGTTGTGATTTAATTTGATTAAAATGCTACTTCATTTAGTTTGTGGTGATCTTGCAATTATTCCCCGAAGTGCCTCTTGTGGGCAATTCATCATTTTTTATTTCTTTAATTTCAAACAGAAACTTGACGTGCTAGCATTCAAGTCTCGAGACTTGCTCCTTGCCTCACACTATACGCAAAACGTTCCGTCCAATGCTTTGGCCTATGAAACCATTGTGTGGAATAAGAGTTTGTGACTGATTTTCAAACACTCCTGCAACACTAATAAACTCATTAGCATCTTCATTCCACACCTATTATGGTACAGATACATAGATCAGATTTCTTCATAGTTTAATCAAGCTTGAATCACTTGAATCCTATGAAATTTGTTGGATTCTGGGAAGTGACAATACGACCTGCCCTCAACCTATTTTGAATTTTTTATTTGATATTTATGCCGCCCGCCCCAACCCCCCAAAAAAACTTCAAAAGAAAAATGAAAATCTTAAAAAAGGAGATATCGTTCTCTAACTTGATAACAAATGCCCTTTTTTTCTTTTTTTTTTTCAATTTCAGTGACTGGGGAGTTGCTTGAAATACCAACATTTACAGGCATGGGGTTTAGTCAAGTGTTACTAGAAGCTTGTCTCTTTACCTGTATTAAAAGGGGAAAAAAAAGAGAAGTGGCATGTCTAGACTACTTTATTTTTTTTGAATTTATTATCATCATCTACACCTACTCTTATTCTAACTTATATCAAGGGGATAATTCAACAGAGTCACGGAAAATCAACGGGAACTAGACAATCATTGGATCATACGGGTCAAGAGGCATCCATATGAATTTAAGAGAAGTCGCATGTCTAAAACTTGTTGCAGGTAATTCGCGTCTCAAGTTACTTTGCACCGCCAAGAGGACTAAATTCAAATCTAATAACCCTAAATTCACACATTTGATATACTTATGACTTGTATGATTAATATTACAGCTTTTTTTTTTAAACGATTAATATTACAGCTGAAACAAAGTGTTAAACCCCTTCCCTTGCACCAAACAGTAATGCGATATTTAACTGCCCATTACCATTATTATTGTGCAAGAATCAATGCGATGTATAATCCCTTCCCTTGCACCAAACAAGGAATGCGATATATAAGTACAACTGCCCATTACCATTATTATTATCGTACAAGAAAATTCCCATGATGTCATCATCATGGGTATGACGACGGGCAAGTGTCAGTACTTGTTGGACCAGTTCGGTTAACTCTGTACTGTACGAGACATTTGTGGCCGGAGGAATAACGAAAATATCTGGGGAGCTGTTGCATCAGACCGTCGGCGGCCGACGCCTACAGAGATCAATAATTTTCAGGGTCCAACAACAACAACAAACGCAATTTTCCTCTTTTGACACCCCAAAAAAAAAAAACACAATTTTCTTTAAAAAAAATGGGAAAAAAAACAAAAGGAATCAATCAAAATTACTAAGTACTACAAAATACTACACTATTAGTAGCAATAGCTATAAGTAGTAGTGAAAACGTCAAAATGAGTCAATGGGCAGTAGTTAGAGCCCGACTGGAGATAAAGAAACATGAGTCAAGTGGCGGCTGGAAAAAAAATAAAATAAAAATGTTCTCCGACGGGGCACCAGTTATAAATGTTTGGTCAAGAAAGAGTAGGGCAAAGGCGAAAGTTGTGGTTAGCTTAATTGGGTTGGATACATGTACCGGGTATGAAGGCTCCGAGATGTCTGGGGGCTACGTATGATTATGCTAAAAGTTTTTTTTAGCATAGCACTATTATAACTGGTTCTGTACTGAGGAAAGGAAAGATGGATGGACTTATTCAATATTTGAAAGAAAATAAATAATCTTGAGTCATGCTCAAGAGGGAATGCAGTCAAGAGAGTTCGACCTCTTGACGAATGCTGAAGAGGGTTCGACCCCTTGACCTGCGCCACCTCTGGTGGCCAACTGATTAAAGTTGAGCGTTGTATGCCAACGGAAACGTCACAAAAACTTCCAATTTGAATACTTCCAAAAACGTTCACGGGCGCCATGGACTAGACAAATTAATACTACTAATTAACGGTGGAGTAGCCAAGTACCGTTACGGAGCAAGTGGCTCCCTAATTCATGAAGGCTAACCCGGGGGCCACTTGGCCACCCTATGTTGCACTCAATGATGCAAATTTAAGGCAGAAAGAAAGGAAATCAAGAAAATTTGGATGATAAGTAGGGTGACTTCATGGGTTCCAGATACCTGAAACTCTTCTTTTGTCTATGGCCAAGCAAAAAGCAAAAATGTCAATTGCTGGTAGAATAATAATAAGCTAAATGCTCTATGCTTAATTACACGTGTATATCATTTCCATAATATCCTACATCGGCAAATTCTTTGTCACAATTAGAGTTGGCAAATCAACCCACTTAAATAAATTTACCCATACCCGTCCATGAATAGATGGGTATGGGTATCAATTTTTGTATATGGATATAAATGGGTTACCCAATAATACCCATTTAATAAATGGGTATTATTGGGTAACCCATCAAACCCAATTAACACATTTAAAATTCTCTTTCCCTAAATCTCTTCTTTTCCCCCACCCACTTTTTTTTTCAGATTTTTCATTTTGTCATAATATTAACTACTTTTGTTTCATTATTATTATTATTTGTTGGTTTTATTTTATTATTTTGTTTTCTCTTAGTTTGTTAACTTGCTCATTTTTTGGCATTACCAATTTATGATAAATTTGAGCCTCTTTTCTTATCTTTCTAAAATGAAATTTTAAATTTATATATGGAAAAAATGTTAGGGGTTAAAAATTTTTGGATTAAATTTTTATATTAACTTTTATAGTACTTAGTTCAAATTTTTATATTCTTATTATTCAATTATTAAATAATATGTAATTTTGTGAAATAGAGTATAAATGAAAAAAATTTGGTAATTAAGCTTATTGAACATTATAAGTAAATATTTAAAACTAATGATGGGTACAAAGAGCGGTATAAATTGTTAACTTAGTTTGCAAAAATGAATTTAAATAAATTTACAAAAAATTAAAATAAATGAGTTATAAATGGGTAATTGGGTTACCCAATTCATTTTTTGACTTACCCATTTATACCCATCTAATTAAATGGGTATAAATGGGTTGACTCATTTATACCCATTACCCATTTTACCCAACCCAAACCCGCCCAAGTCACCCATTTTGACACCTCTAGTCACAATGTGTGCTAAATTCTCTATGCTTAATTAGACATGTATATCATTTTCCATAATATGCCACATTAAGAAATCCTTTGTCACGGTGTATGCTAAATGCTTGATGCTTAGACACGTATATCATTGCCATAACATCCTGAATCGGCAAATCCTTTGTTACAATATTCTCTTGAATAAATTTAAATTAATTGTTATGCATCTGAAACTGATAGTGTATATACTATCAATCAATACGCAGAAGATAAACTTTTTTTGTCTGTGATAAATAGAGTTATCTCTAGCTATGCGTAAGACTTCGAACAAGCGTTTTTATTTGGGGCAAACCGCAAAAGGATTATTTCTTCAAGAAATATAGAAAGACAAAAAGTCAGTCCCCTTTTATGCTCACCGTGCAACATCTCCCCATGGGGTGGGTTTTGATGTAAGTTTCCAATTTGAGCTTCGAGCGCATAACCCAATCCTAAATTTAGGTAGTAGAAATTTGACACGAGATCGACAGTCAGTTCCAATCTACTCTTCATAAATTTGCATATTCCTGGATAAGAATATAAAAGGTGAAATCAATAGCGGACATATCCAGCATCACAGGACTAAGGTAGGCCCTTTCTTGCATGAGATGGTGATGGATGAGGAACTTGTTAGAAAAAAAAAATTTCAACTACTAACTACAGAAAATGGCTTTGGCGTGAAGATTCACTTTTCGCAAGAAAATTTGCCCCTACTATTCTGCTACCGGATTTACAACAATTCTCTCCAAAAATAACAAAGCCAACTAGAATTTTCACACAGTAGTATGAAGAAATTCTTCCAAGAACGATTCAGAGAATTATTGTTGATAAGAAGTAGAAGAACAGTAAATCTAAAAGTAAAAAGTGAGTTTTCCTAATATCTGAACATTCTTATTTATAAACAATCCAAAAGAAATGTCATATCTTTTGGAAATATACTTCTTCCCGAGTACTGATTATTATGGGGATAGAGAGAGACAGAGAGTCGTTATAAAATGCCAAAAAGGAAATATTATGGTTTTCATCATGAGTACTGATTACTAATTATGGTTTGTGGAAATTGGTCTAGCTAGTCTTGAAAACTTCTTTTCTTTCTTGACAGTATCTAATTTACAAACATCAAATCATAAGGGGTGAACAAAAAGATCATCTG